ACTTCCTGGCTGGGGAATTCTGGGAGTTGAAGTCCACAAGTCCTAATCCTTAATCCAACATGCAGGTACCATACGTGTACAATTTTCACCAGGTTTCTGCCTGTTTTGGGCAGCAATTTTAAAATCTAAGGACCTCAACCTCCGAAATGCAAAACTTCAAGGCTTATGGATTAAGCATGACTCAGCACTGAGCTATTTCACTCCCATCTTCCACAAAATACAGTTACATTGATTGCCTTAGGTAGAAATCCAATATACAACATGCTTACTTGAGAATAAATCCCACTGATTTTATTGAGGCCCCATGCTGGTAGACTGATAGATAAAGGACTATAATTATAAAATTCTGCAATTTCATATTTAACTTCTGCTGTGGATTTATTTTACAACGTCCCCTGCAGTGTGCCATTGTAGTAAATTTCATTCAACTGTATGTATTAGTTCGCTTAGTTCACTTTAATAATATTTGTTTTTAATTTGCAGTGTAAATAGCAGATTATGATATTCATAATTCATAATTTGCATTGTAAATTGCAGCAGCAGATTATGATATTCAACTTATATAGGCCTTGAAACAAATAAAGCATTTAAAGAAATATTACTTTGAAGTACACAGAATCACGTTTTCCCCCCTGTAATCCCTTGCATCATGGTAGAATTGGGGCCACCGAATGGAGCTCAAGTGTTTACTGGCCGGATGCCCTTCCTAACACCTACGCAGAGTTCACAGCAGACAACAACTAACTGAGCCCAAAGACAGAAATATCTGCCTCTACCTCGGATCAAACTCACAGCCTCCCGATTGTGAGGCGAGAGCTCCACCGCTAGGCCACCACGCCGCTCTATGCAGGATCACTTTTAATGAGAAGTAAATGCACCCCAAAAGTATAATGTATATGCTTAATGTATTTCCATTTCATTTCCATTCTGATGAGTCCTCCAGCATTTACCGTCTTTGTCTGACCACCTCAGACAGTGGCACCCAGTGGGGTCCTCTATAGTTTGGTAGTTTGCTTACAGACGTTTCATCACCAAACTAGGTAACATCATCAGTGCTGCGGGTGGGGTTTGTTCCCTATTTACATACAATAGATTGCCCTGCCAGTGTTGAGTGGTATATGGTTTCTCCTTGGTACTTCCTGGATTTGAGCCAAGCTCACAGAGCACCTAGTCCAGGGGTCGGCAACTTTAAACACTCAAAGAGCCACAATGGTCCCCCCATTCAATTCTGGAGCCAACCGGAAGTCCGGTTCCCCCACCACAGTCTCCTCCTAGCGTGACATCCTTTTTCCTCTATCCCCGTGATGGCGAACCTATGGCACCTGTGCTGGAAGTGGCATGCAGAGCCATCTCTGCGGGCCTGTGAGCCATCGCCCCAGCTCAGTTCCACTGCGCATGCATGCGTGCCTCCCACCAGCCACCTGATTTGCAGGTATCTGTCACGCGTGGAGGGCGGGGTGCATGCGGGAGACGTGTGTGCATGCGCTGGGGGCAGGTGGAGTGTGTGGGGGTCCCGCATGCATTGCATTATGGGTGCAGGCACACGTGCGTGCTCTCTTGAATGCATGCACGCACTTTTGGTTCGCAACGACAAAAAATGTTAGCCGTCACTGATTTATCCTAACCGAAAGCTGTATCCATTGTGGAGCTGACTGGTGACAGGGAGCCGCAGCAGAGGGATGAAAGAGCCCCATGCGGCTCCAGAGCCGTAGGTTGCCGACCCCTGACCTAGTCCATCCAGATGGAAAACTCCCACCAACTAAAGATACCCAGAGGAAGGGAAACGGTTCTCTCTTCACCGCTGCTTCGTAAGTTGCTCCACTTCGACTTGAAGGCTGTTGATCTTGTCCCCAAATTCCTCCTTGAAGAGCCGATTGTCCTCCTGCAGACACTGGCACTCCCGCTCGGACAGCTGCAATCTGGGTATGAGCCACATGAACTTGTGATAAAAAACAAAAGCTATGGTAGGGGGGAAAGACCAAATTGAAACCATAAATAAAAGAAAAGGCGGAGTGAGAGATGGAGGGATGAGCGCGGGAGAACGAGAAGGATGAGGGCGGGGACGAGAAACAAAATCTAATGGAGGACTAAAAAAATAATAAATAAATTAAAATGGCGGAGGTGAACCAGGCAGAAGGAGCGTCTCTTTTCCACTTTTTTTTATTCTATTACTACAGTTTACAGTCATTAGATGATAAACATAAAACATCACTTTTATTATCCATAGTCAAAGCAAATCTCAAGTACAGAGTAATGTGAAAAGGTCTTGGCGGGTTCTTTGTTACGTTAACACGCAGCTTTATACAAATAACTGGAACTCGTGTCAAGGGGTACCTAGGTTATTAGTGTGTTTGCCTAGCCTCGTTCACAACTGTTACATTAAGGGAAGCACGCGGAGGTTCCAGGCCGAAGGCAAAGTTGTGGGCGGTTCGTTTTAGGGCTCCCAGACTATTTCGGGGGCTGTTCAACAAGAAGAAAGGGGGGCAAAAGGATACTATCACAAGACACAAACTGATTTTTGGCTACTTGAATCCACCAACCGGGGGGCAAATATTTAGAACGAAGGCTTCACTGGAGGGTAGTCAGGGAGAATGAATTGTTCTTCCAAAATAACGCCACCGCCTGCCTTCCTGCTTTTGAAACGGGCTCAAGAATTTGGTCAGCCAAGGGGCGCCATCGGCAAGGTAGGGGTCAACTCGCAAAGCTTTCCCGACCTGCTCCCGAGTTGCCATAGGCAGGGGGATGGGAAATCACGCCTCGCAGCTGCACCGAGGACTTCACGCCTCAGTCGAAACAAGATGCAGCCTAGCCGCCCGAAGCCAAGGCCATCTTCTCCATGGAGACCCGCAACAGCTGGAGGGAGGCCCGCGAAATTGCTTCGTTGGGGAATGTGACTGGTGACACACCTTGGGGGGAGGGGGGAAACAGGGTCAGAAGCATGGCGCGAATGGGGTGAAGTCAGAGCTGGCTTTACTTAGTTCGTGCCAACATGGCGCCCCTAATAAACAATTGGATTTTTCTTTACACAATGGCTTGAGGCTCCTGATTTTATTAGGGCGTTGGTTGGAACCTTGACAGTAGGACTTCCCAATACAGTAGAACCTCTGCTCATGACCATAATTTGTTCCCTAACTTTGACGATTTTTTCGTCTTCTAATGTTTCGTCTTCAGGAATTTCTAGATCCAGGGTTGTGTTTGATCGCCACCTAAGTATGTCTTCGTGACCAGATTCAAAAAATGTTGTGATATTTTTGGCCAGAACCCAATTTGGTCATGGTCAGAAGCATTTGTGACCAGAGGTTCTACTGTACTCATGAGGGGATTCTTAGGAAGTATCTCTGGGTGGAAAACAGAGAGGTCCGTCCCAGGTGGGCCACCTGTACATCCAAGCTGGCCTTTTGGTTACTGCAGAGGAACTTGAGGCGTTGGTTAGGGGGGTTAAAGAGGTGCCCGTTGGCTATCAAAGCTCAACCCTCGTCACAAGAGCCAGAGGCACAATTTCTACCGTAGAGAAATTCTGCGAAGATAATTTTCTCTGCTCCCACTGGAATCGAGCAGGCCCTTGTGAGGATCGTCTCTCACAAAGTGAGTGAAGAACAACCTAGGAGTTAATTTTCAATAGGTTGCAAAAGCCAGAGGAAAATGGGCTACACAAAGGAAAAGGGCAAGTAGCAGAGAGGAGTATGGGATACAGGACAACATTATCTATCTAAGGCCTCTTCTTGCAATGTAGCGATGGCTGAAATTCTGTAGCTTCTAATTTTCTTCAATAGTATTCACTTATCCAAAATTCTTGGTTGTTTTATGAGTTAAGTGGTTTCAGTCCTGCCTGCGGAGTGAAGCCTGACAGCCGGCAAGCAAAAATCTAATTTCTAAGGAATTGTTGCATTTTTCCTAGGAGCAAAGGATGACTTCAAAGGATATTTTAAATAAAATGGGTGCGTGTCCCAAATGTGTTTTTTTTTTCAACAGGCCACTGAGCTTTCTGATTTTTCTTTGAAGATGTTTTGCTTCTCATCCAAGAAGCTTCTTCAGCTCTGACTGGATGGAGGGGAATGGAAGGATTTATACTCCTTGTGGATAGCTGGTCATTTGCATCCTTCTAGAGAGTCACTGAGGCCACGTGGAGGTTTTTTCTGTGTCCTCCAAGTGGTCTCAAGGACCCTTTAAAGGGATGCAAATGACCAGCTGTCTGCAAGGAGTATCAATCCTTCCATTCCCCTCCATCCAGTCACAGCTGAAGAAGCTTCTTGGATGAGATGTGAAACTTCTTCAAAGAAAAATCAGAAAGTCCAATTGTCCCTTGGAAAAAACACCTCTGGGACAACCATGACCTGGATGACTGAGAATCTCCAGAGACAAATGGGTCTGTGGATAAAAAAATATGAAGCGGTCTATCTGTATAATTGGCTAGGCGCTAACCTTGATTAATTTTGAAAAGCTTAGCAGATCTGCTCATCACATGGATGGAAAACTACCAGAGGTTATCAGGGTTATAAGCTTCCAGGTTATAAACATTCCAGAAGTTAAATGAAAACTGCTATTATACAACTGGTATTGCCAAAACTGTTGGTCATGATTGTGAAGTCAATCAGAATTGACTTTTACTAAAAGGAAATTTCACCTACCCTGTTTGGGAACAGTTAATTTCCCTTCTCTTGCAAAATTTCGAGGGTGTTTTTCCACCCCTAAATTTATTAACTGGTGATTATCAACCAGAAGACATGGCCAATGGTTTTATGAAAACTCCAATTATAATTCTAGGGCATTCTCACAACATTAACGATATCCCATTTAAGAGATAGTAATGAAAATACTAATACTTTTGGATAGGATTTGAACATGCCATCCCCAAATCAATTTTTTTCAAGGTTCAGAAAAATGAATGAATAAATAAATCTGACGGGTAATGTCGGACAGATTTATAAGCTACGAAGTGAATCAGATTTTACAGCCATATGGATTTTAAAATCAGGCTATAATATTTTTTTGTTCCCATCTTTTTTTTTTATGCATGTTCCCATTTTCCTGGACCAAGCAAAGGTGATTTATATAGGATGAAACTATTTTAATGCTAATGGGAATTTAGAAGAACACATCTTTTACACACGCACACCCCATTAAATAGGGATGTGTCCTAGGTTTATGCTTCCCCAAATCCTCAATCAATATAGCCCAAAGTATTTCCTAGAAATGCTGTAAAAACATTTGGAGGGCACTTGGTTGAAGAACAATTATTAAAGATGGGGAAAAATAGTTTGGATAGTTTGAGAAATGTTGATAATTCTCCACACACTCGCTTACAATCACCTCAGATTTCATCAGAATTAGGAAAAGAAAAAAAATACATTGTTGAGTTACAGCATGGTGCTTTAATAGACTTCTAAGGCTTAGATGCTCTTTCAGTACAACTCCTAGCAAACCCCTTGTTTGATCAAGATCACTCTGAATCAAAAGCTAATAGCGGCCAGAGAAAGGTTTAAACAATGGCCAAATAACTTTTCGCTGTAGTTGCTTTTAATCAAAGAGTGATCCACAATAAAACACTACCAGTTCTGTTTATCCTTTTTATATATATTTATATATGAAAGGGACAATGATTCAGTTTTTTTCTAAAAGAGTGAGGGAAGGGAAGACACACGTATTATAAAAGTCAACCAGGAAATGAGAATCACTATATTTTTAGGGAGAAAAGGCAGAGGTAGAAGTCAATGCAAAGGAAAAGATGGGGTGACCAATTAGAAAAATAGCTAACAGCTAGATTTTGCATCCATGTCACCTAAAGGGGATGAATAAATCATTTCCCCTGTTATGAAAGTGGCCTGCATTGGCCGGTTATCTTAGCTCGTCCTCGGATTGCTAAAAAAATTCTGGTTACAACTCTTGAGCAATGAAAATTGGTGTATTTTGCATCATCCGAACTCGGGGAGGGGTGGGTGGGTGTCTTCTGCATATTCCTTAATACCCATCCGCCCACGGCTACAGTCAAAACAAAAGGATTTTGGTCATTCCAACGGAAGGGCAGGTACCCTTAAAGGGAAATTCTTGCAAAAGAGAGCAAGACGGGGGAATTGTTCTCAACTACAAGCCGAGCAAGAATGCAAGCAAGGGAGAGTCCAGATGGAGTTGACTCTATTCTCTCAAAATAATTTTCATCCGGCTTCAATTGGAAGGATTTTATTCCTAGGAATGGGAATATTTTTGCAGCCCCCCCCCCTTCAACCTTTCTAATCAATTTCAATTTACAAAACATCCCGAGTCAAGGCTCAGGTAGAAAAGCCTTTGGTTAATAAGGGCCAAATGTTCCTAAAAGCAACTTCTAACCCTGGTTTTTGTCTGTCCTGCTTATGACCAAGGGGAGAAAACCACATCTATAAAAACCGTGGTTTCCTACAGGGTCCCAAACTTCTCTGCCTGTTTTTGTTTTTTGTTTTTCCCCCCCATCTACTTCACAACAGGGAAACCAAGAATTTCTTCCTTTGAAGTTGAACATTTGGGGTGAGGCTGGAACATCGCTCTATTTTTCTACATCATGTTGTAAAGGCTAAAAAAGAAAAAAAAAATTGTGTGGTATACAATTGCATGTATATAGTCACAAATCTGATTTTATCTTATTTTCTTTCTGGAGTACTCGCTGATCAAATTGCTCCTATTTTAATAAAGTTTTTAAGCATTAACAGGGAGGGGGGGGGTGGAAGGAAAGCCAGAAGTTAATTTTTCTATTTCCGAATAAAACCTTAAAAAAAAAAAAGTCCCATCAAATTCCACTTTTCAACTTTTGTGACAACATGTAATTCTGACATCTAAATTCTCAATTTTTGTTTTTGCTCTTCGCTCGTAAGGGAGCTCGGATGTCAGAGTTGCGATGTGATCGGCTGCAAAAATTAAAATGTCTAGTGAGGCTTCTGAATTAATTTGTTTGCTGCGCTATTTAAGGTTTTTGCCTGTTTCACCAAATCTTTTTCGCTGTAAGGAGGGGGGAGAAATAAAAATGATACGTGGAAAAGGGAGTTGGAGTAGAGAAAATATGTAATAAAAAAAACCAGTTAATCCAGCAGATATCAGTGGTTATATATTACAGTACTTTAAATAAGCACAGCTTAAATATAATTCAAACTTGATCTTCATTTCCTAAGAAGAAGGCACATTAATACATATCTTAAATAAAGTTACATATTTTCAAAGTTGAGGAATGATGTACATGTTTCAGAATCTTTTACAGTTTTCCTTGATTTACAACCTTTTTGTTTAAGGACCATTTGAAATTACAATGGCACTGGAAAAAATGACTTACGATCGTTTCTCATACATGACCACTGCAGCATCCCTGTATTCACATGATCAAAATTCAGACACTTGATAACTAGTTCATATTTATGACGGTTGCAGTGTCCCATGATCCCCTTTTGCGACCTTCTGACAAGCAAAGTCAATGGGGAAAGCCAGATTCACTTAACAACCGGATTACCAATTTAACAACTGCAGTGATTCTGTCATGCCCCTGTTGGAGACTGACTCTGAGGGAGAGGAGGAACAGCCGCTAGGGAGTGGAAGGGTGGCTCCGGAGGTTGTGGAGGAGGCTGGGGAAGGGCAGAGGCCAGCTGGGCAGTCAGAGGAAGACCCAGGCCCATCCCCTCTCCATCCTAGGGCACGCAGGGAGGAGAGGATAAGGGAGAGACATGAATGGTGTGGTCTACGGGGGAGGAAAGGGCCTTGATCCTCTTCATGGGCTGCAGCTGTGAGAACTGGTTAAAAGGACGGACATGCGTATGGGCCAGTGCTGGAAACAAAGCGTGGAAATATCTCCAGTTTGTTGTTCCTCTCTGAGTTTGGCGTCCTTCCCAGTGTGTGTTCCGATATCTGTGGATATCTTCAAGCCCTTATCTTGCCTGGTTCCCTTATTTGTTTTAGTGTGGTTTGTGTTGTTTTTACTCTTTATCATTTATAAGCATTTTTAGTTTAAACGGCATTTCCTCCTTTCTGTAATTGTTTGTGGGGGAGTTTTTTGTCTCCAGTCAAGGATATTTGGAGCTTTGAAGCAAAGTGAAGGAATAAAAGGGGCTTCACCTGTTTTCGTGACTGTGTTTATTTTGTATCCCTGGGTCATCACAGATTCACTGAACAACTCTGGCAATAAAGACTGTAAAAACAGGGCAAAACTCACTTAACAAATGTCTCACTTAGCAACAGAAGTTTTGGGCTCAATTGTGGTCGTACGTCAAGGACTAAATGAACTGTCAAATTTAATTTAATTTATGTGGTCCAACTCAGACATCTCATTAAGCCACAATGTGATATGCTTAGCATGTCACACAACCCAACCATCATGGACTGCAAATGATGGTTATGCCACGGTGTGTGATGCCAACTATTGGCGGAATATTGAACAAACCTCATTATGCATCCATTTCATAGCACATTACTTATCAACTAGATTTCAGTTTATAAAGAAACGGAGAATGTACAGTTACATCCTGATTTTTCCAATTTTACATTAAATTATCAATCTCAGTTGCCAAAACTTACTGTGCACATAAGATTTAAGAGGAATATATTTGTAATTGATTATTCTGGGGTATTTAAATGAAGAACTCAGAACCTGACCTTTATTGGCAAGTAATTTTATTCATAGTGCTCCCCTTTAAATACTACCATTAAATCAGAATGGCTCAGACTAGCTTAGTTTTAGCCTGTGTCATGTCTGGAGGTGGTCAGATTAAGAGGATTACATTTTTTAATTAGAACTACCCCATGTCTTCAAATAGATTGACACTGATCAGCAATGGCTGAAAATGGTAGGAACTGTAATGCTGGTATATTTGGAAATGTATCAGTAGTCCTCATCTTATGACCACAATTGAGCCCAAAATTTCCACAGTTAAGCAAGGCAGTTGTTAAGTGAATTTTGCCCCCTTTTACAACTTTTCTTGCCAGTTGTTAAGTGAACCACTCCAGTGGTTAAGTTAGTAACACGGTTGTTAAGTGAATCTGGCTTCCCCATTGACTTTGCTCGTCAGAAGGTCACAAAAGGGGATCACATGACCCCAGGACACTGCAATTGTCATAAATGTGAGCCAGTTGCCAAGCGCCTGAATTTTGATCACATGACCACTGATACGCTGCAATGGTTGTAAGTGTGAAAAACAATCATGTCACCTTTTTCAGGGCTTGTAATTTTAAATGGTCACTAAACATACTGTTGTAAGGTGAGGACTACCTGTATTTAGTTATAGAGTGGCCATATATATAGTATATACATTAAAGTCCTGACTGCCATTCTACTACTGGTTTTTGCAGATGCTGCTTAAAACTTTGTTAAACCCCAAGTAAAGAATCAGGACAGAATTCAGTAGCAACACAACTGTTTCCGCTTATGGGTGAATCCCATCCTTGAGAAACCCTGCAGAATTTTTCCTTCTCTGGGAAAAATGAACCTGTCATATGTGGGAGACAAACGAGTGGGTACCTGTAGATGGCAGTAGGGAGCTACAAAACCATACAGCTCTTTGCTGCCATGTAAAGCTGCGGTGGATTGTTGCAGAACCCAAATGATCTACACACAAGCAGGCATATCTCAGAACTGGAGGTAGAACTCAACGCAGCCAGAAAACTTGACTTTGGAGACAGAGCTCAAATTTGAAAAACAAACACATAGTCACATTCCCCCGAACCTGGGAAGCAAGAAAACCATTTCGTTTTCAGATCCGAGGTTTCCCCGAGGTGTTAAGCTCAAGGCAAAACTCACAACTCAGGGTAGAACTCCAATGCAGCCAGAAAACTTGACTTTGGAGACAGAGCTCGAATTTGAAAAACAAACACATATTCATATTCCCTGGGAATTCTGTTTGGGATCTAGAATTCCGGGGGGAAACTGGCCTGAAATTGTATCAGTGCTATTATATAACACGCAGGTCAATATTTCCCATTTTTTCTGCAGCAGACTAATTATAAGGTACTTGCAAGAAACAAGTTTAGAAAGCCCAAGTTCTATTTTCATGTAACCCAGTGAATGAAAGGATGAATATATTTTTAGCTTCCTTGGATAAGATGGTTTCAAGTTTACCTCTGTTCAAGCAGTTTAATTGTAGCGGCCATTTGACTGGTCTTTTCCTCCAAGCGGCTATTCAGTTCACTTTTCTGTTTCACTCCCAGGTCTGAACTCTAAAAAAAAACAAAAAACAAAGACAGCAATCACTATACTTACTTATCTTTAAAGATTATGAGGTCACATTTAATATATGCGCAACGATCCCCATGTGCAAACTATTTGACATGCATTTATTCGGCAGTGTGGTAGGCCCACCTCATCTGATTTAACGCCTCAAGATGTAATTGGTTGACATGCCCTCTAATTCCCAGGCCGACTGGTATGGAAGGCTGGCAAAAGCTAATATAGACATTGGCACTGTGGCAGCGTGAAGTAAACAAAAGGAGAAAAGACATTTATGAGCTGCGGTGGTGCAGTGGTTAGAGTGCAGTGATCTAGGCCAGTGATCCCCAACCTTTTTTATGCCGCGGCCCGGTATCCCAACCTTTTTTATGGCGCGGCCCGGTACCGACATCAGCTGGGCGCCGCCATCTTGTTTTGATGAAAAAGTGCTTCCAGTGAGCTTTCTACCCGGAAAAGCTCACCGGAAGCACTTTATCATCAAAACAAGATGGCGGCGCCCAGCAAACCAGCGGCCCGGTAGGACTTGTTCCACGGACCGGTACCGGTCCGTGGACCGGTGGTTGGGGACCCCTGATCTAGGCTACTTCTGCGGACTGTCGGCTGCCTGCAATTTTGCAGTTTGATCCTCACCAGACTCAAGGTTGACTCAGCCTTCCATCCTTCCCAAGTGGGTAAAACGAGGAGCCAGATTGTTGGGGGCAAAAGGCTGACTTTGTAAACAGCTTAGAGGGGGCTGTAAAGCACCGTGAAACAGTATATAAGTCTAAGTGCTATTGCTATTCTGCAAAACTATTTAAAATCACATAAGGTAGAGGAATACAACAGCAATTGCATAGTCCCTGATAAACATACAGAGGGGGTATTCAGCAGGTTCTGACCAGTTCTGGAAAACCGGTAGCGGAAATTTTGAGTAGTTCCGAGAACCGGTAGCGGAAATTTTGAGTAGTTCGGAATACCACCTCTGACTGGCTCCATCCCCATCTATTCTCTGCCTCCCATCGAGTCCCAGCTGATCAGCTGGGTCTTCTTTTGTTGCCCTGCACAGGAGAATGGAGCTGGAAAGCAGGTTAGCGGGGTGAGGAGAGAATGGGGATTTTATAGTATCCTTCCCCTGGAGTGGGGTAGGAGTAGAGATTTTACAGTATCCTTCCCCTGCCACACCTACCAAGGCACACCATGCCCACCAACCCATGCCCACAGAACCAGTAGAAAAAAAACTGAATCCCACTATTGTAAACATGGTTAACAATAGTTTATACTGTACATAAAATACACATGCTTGAAAATTGTTGGCTTGCCTAAGCAACAATTGCTTATATTTATATGGATGGTAAATCTTTATTTTTCCTTTAGATGTTGTTAACATTCCACTGGCTGTTCAAAACTAACTTCTCATGTCCAGACAATTACAAGAATTTCTTTCAACCAGTGTTTCTCACTCTTAGCAGCTTTAAGATGAGTGGACTTCAATTCCCAGAATTCCCCAGCCAGCTGGCTGGGGAATTCTGGGAATTAAAGTCCACACATTTTAAAGTTGCTGAGGTTGAGAAGCATTGCTTTAGATCAAGGGTATCAAACCTGATTGCATTGTGGGCTGTATCGTGATGTATTGCCCTTACAGAGCCAGGGTGGGCGTAGCCCACGCAGGCCGTAACTAGCCCATGGGTCGCGTGGTTGACACCCTTGCTTTAGATCATGAAAACCAGTCAAACCTTTAACGTGACTGTTATCAGGGGTGGGATTCTACCAGTTCGCACCTACTCGCTAGAACCGGTTGTTAACATTCTAAGCAGTTCGGAGAACCGGTTGTTAGAAGAAATTCCTGGCCTAATCCTGTAAGGAAGGCAGGAAGGAAACATTCTGGTGTTGCTTACAGAAACTGCCTCTCCATTAACCCTTATTACATTTTTGGAAGGACTGGACTTCCTGTCTCAGGAACGTCTCTGGAGTTTTTTCCCCCCTCCTTTGCTGGTACTTTGCTTGTGTGGAATGACCATTCAAAGTTACAATGGCACTGAAAAAAGTGACTTATGACTATTTTTCACACTTACAACTGTTGCAGCATCCCCACAGTCATGAGACGCCAGGTGAGGAGATGCGTGCCTCAATGTGAGTGATATTGAGTTGGCCACACCCAACCAATAACATGACCACCAAGCCACGTCCACCCAGTCACATGACCACCAAGCCACGCCCAGCTTAGTTGCCACGCCAACAGAACCGGTTGTTAAAAAATTTGAATCCCACCCCTGACTGTTATGATATGTACAGAATAACCCTTGAGTAACAGGGATATGCACATGGAAACGTTTATGAGAATAGTTATGAATAATTATTCAGTAATACACAGATACACTAAACTGAGTTAAAATTTACTTTAAGAAATAGCACAGTCCAATAAACGGTCCAGGTCATATACATTTTACAGTCCAAAGAATATCCAATTACAAAGTCTTCTTACCGGTTGCCTTTGTCATTTACAGTAAACAAATATATCAAAGTATAAGCACAGCATAAATACAACATAGTCTCAGAGTCAAACTGAGATAGCAACAGAATGTCAGAGATACCGAATGTCAGAGAGAGCAAGCCATGATCTCTAGCTCCCTCTTACGTCAATTCGCAATACAATCAACCAATTGGAATCAATACAGTGATTTTGTCTTTAAGCTACAAACACACATTGTTGGTTTATATATTGCCAACCCAACTAATTGTTGGGCAGATTCCTAACAATGACCGGTGATTATTTTGCAAAATGTGCCATTAGTCATATTGGTTTCAGACAACAGAAGGAAACGATCGAATACGCATGAGGAACACCCCATTTTTTCTTTCTTTCTAACGAGGGAGAAAGCGCCCTTTACAAGGCAGACAGCCTACAAACTCTCTCGGCCTCAACCCAGGATTAAGGAAGTGTTTACTTCATGTTTAGGCCAGCCCTGTGTGGAGAAACTATGGAAATTCTTCTGTATCTAAGGAACCATCTTACTCCACTGGGATTAGGCTGTTCCATATTCTTCAATCACGTCAACGGAAAGAAAGAGAAAAGAGTCATCGTGTCATGGCAAGCTTTTAAACTAAGCCATCTTATAAATGGTGGGATTCTACCAGTTTCCCTGCCGGTTCGGTGATCGCACACTTCGTGCATGCATGCACCTAAAGCACGCACGCAGCTTTCCAAACACCAGCTGAGGCTCTGCCGCGCCAATCAGCTGAGAGAATAAAGAACAGAAAAGTGCAGCGACGGGTGGGAGGGCTGATCCTGCACTTTTCTCTTCTTTCTCCTCCCAGCTGATCGCCTGAACCGGGTCGAACCAGTAGCATTTCACCACTGAATCTTATTCTCCTGTGTCCGAACCCTTCATTTTCCCCAAACGAAAGCGAAGAGGATGAGGCAGGGCCTTGCAATTAACCGGCTGATTTACCTGCAGCTTGAAAGAAAGTTCAAGTTTTAGGGCCCTGAGATCATCCAGTTGTTGTCTGAGTACCACAAGGGCATCCTGCTTCTCGCAAACGTCCTTTTCCAGCATCTTCATAGCCAGCTCCATCTCTTGTCTCATTCCGATCTGCATTTCAAGCTCTTTCTCCACATCCTGAAAGCAGGCAGGCGCATACAGAAGTTACAGGTGAGAGTCTGAAGGTCTGAAAGACTCTTTCCCCCCCCCCCAGACCCCCGCATAAGAAATCACTACAAATGGTAGCAACGGGAAAAGCGTGAGCTTTTCCATTCCTGCAGAAGATGGAAGAACGTATGAATTCTCTATGCTGATTCTAGGAGAGGGGAAAGGTTCGCTCGCTGCAAGGGAAGTCAGAGCAGTGCCTTTTCCAACACTAACAATGATAAAAAGGTATTATGACATGAACGTACCGGGGCACGGAAACAACATTTAAAACCGAGAGAGAGGATTCTGGCATGTAAACAGCTTCACCTCTTAGTAAATGGAGTCATGTTTACAAGCAGTTCACACCTTTTCACAAGCTGTTCACATTTTCTGTGGTATTTTCTTTGTAAAGGTGTTTGATGTGAAAAAATGATGTTCAACTCTTTTCCTGATATTTGAATCATTCTGAACCTTTGGGGTGTGCATGTGCGTGCGTGTGTGCGCGCACACACACACACA